CTCCTAAATCACTCGTACGCACAACTTAAGAACAAATCTATGCGTACGAATGGTTTTTGCATGAGGCCCAATGTTTTCTTATTTTGCACCAAGGTCATGAAATAATCTTCAGTACAAATTAAAGCTTAATGCTTTTGTCCCTTTGTTGAGTTTAAAGCTCTTACAAAGTCTGAAGAGTGTGATTGCTATTCACAGGCTGGACATGGAACTTGTCTTACATTAATGCTGACATGTTTTAATTTTGGTATTTAGAGATTAAATTTATTTTGGGCTTGTAACTTTGACATGGCAAGTTTTTTTTCCTCTCCCTTGAAAAAGAGATGTTAATGTCGAGGGGATTCCTGGGTAATATTGATTAAATTAATAAAAAAAATAGATTCTGACTCAAGTTCAAATGTTTTGTGTTTTTATAACGTGTGCATTTCAGATTCAGAGTGTACATTACCTTACAAGCAACCTTTCTTACAACAAACCGTTTCTAGTAACTACCAGTGATGATAATTACTAAGAAAACATGCAATTTACACAAAAATGTAATTAGTCAAAACGAGAAAGGCTTGTTACGTTCAAAGTTGCATCACAATCAAAGTAACTCACGGGTTTTGTAATGCCTTTTAATTATTGCCGATCTTAAAATTCAAGGTTGGTTAAGGCTTACAGTCCAAATAAAATAAGATCTTTAAAACGTGTCTAAGTTGAGTTGTTAAGAAGGAAACGCTCCACAATTACACAACAGCTATTTTTGCAGCTAAAAGACACAACTGAAACCTTATCTTTACGTGTGTGTTAGAGCATGAACTAAAATCATCTGTGCCGTGGACTGCATTCACACAATCATGCCTGTTTTGGAAGGAAACATCTTATTAGAGAAATCAACAACTAGCTGCTGATGCTAGTAAAGGCCCGTGTGAAGCGTTTCGGCTGCAGCGCGGGAGTTCAGACAGCACGCAGTTTGTCTATCACAACAGAAAAACAGCGCATGTTTACCTGTAATGCAGGCGTTTACTGCCGTGGGTTTCTGCGCGGTTACCACGTAGTTGTACGACATTTTTACAACAAATAAGAGCAAACACCGGTGAAGTGTTTTAATCTCTAACGAGTAAAACAATCATTGATGAAACCTCCCGGAAGCAGTTTGGAGAGACGTTTGGGTCAAAGGCAAGAGATGATGCTAAGTTGCAGCGCCCCCGTGAGTTCTGGAAGACCCTTAGCATGGGCTGATGTTGGTCATTGTGCCCTCATTGTTTCACAATAATTTGCGCCTTGTAAAATATGACTACATGTACATATAAAATGTTGGTTTATAATGGTTTATAGTTGTTGTTGTTGTTTTAATTCACAAGGCGTTTTAGTCCTTTTGTGTGACATTTCTGAGGCTTTTTATTCGCACCTCCAGGCCACCGTAGTGTTGCCATGGAAATCGACTGAAACATTAGTTTATCGTTTAACTTCGCAATGGAGACACCTGAGAAGACAGAAACAAATCTGGATATACAGATAACTGCAAAATGTGGACATAACTTGGTAAGTGTTGTTTTATATAGCTCCATGTTTATATATATATATA